TATTATATATGTATATATATGTATACATATAACTCTAAACATTTTAAATGCAATTACAGCGACATAATTTTACAATTATCATCCACAATAAGACATAAGACCATGAATTATAATTGCAGATTTCTGTTGCAGGACATCGTAGCTGAGAATTATTAATTGCATATTTAATTAATTTTTTTCTGTTCTATGTACTCACCGCAACATCATTTGCGGTCATTATTAACGTTTGCATTTCTTCTGCTGTTTAGCTACCGGCAAAATTTGGCGGTTCATTTCGTCGTAGCGGAATTGGCCTTTGAATCTTTGGACAAGTTTTATGAATTTGTCAGCGAGTTCGGTTTGGTTTACGCTGATCTCGCTCGACAACAAATCGACTGCAAGGCAAGCAGTGCTAATCTAGGTGCTTGGTAGAAGGCACCGTCGTTCTGCTCTCCCACTTTTATTCCTCGTGATGGAAGATAAACGCGATATATATATATTATATATATATATATGTATGATATATGCGAGAGAGAGAGAGAGAGAGAGAGAGAAAAAAAACAAAGGCCCCGTACATACACACACACGTACGAGCATAATAAGTCTCGCGTGTACATCTCGCAATGTGTATATGTATGTTTCCGATTTACGCGAACGATACATAATGCATATGCATATATATGTATACATATATGCATATACATGCATGAAAAAAAATATTCATTCCACTGGTATACGCGGCGTATCCTCTGTAAATTTTCTTCATTCTCGGAAACCTCACACACGTGTGCCGACATTTTTTGCAAAACAAAAACGCTATTTAAAAATAATCATCATCGTTCCACTGCGGTGCCACAATTTCATATCGCCGTCGAAAAAAATTAACAAAGTACGACGCTCGGAAGGTTTGGAGCTCCGACTACGGATTTGTACATATATCATCTCTCTCGCGTGTGATTTTTTCCCACGCAAACTTGTATATAATTTCAAGAGGATGTACATATATGAACTTCTCTCATCAGGGGGGCCCATGGAAATTGTACAAAAAAAAAAAAAAAAAAAAAAGCTAAATTTTTACACAGACCTGCTTATTTAAGAAGTAACTGATAATTATCCATAATGAATCGTTTTCTCGGTCATCCGACGTTGCCTCAGTAAAAAGTAGAAAAATTACAAAAAAAAAAAAGGATCATATTCACACCAGTAACATTATCATATATTCACAACGCAAAAAAAAACAAAAAAAAAAAAAAAAACAACCAATAGAAAACCTGCAGTCTTCACAAAAGAAAACAAAACACACAAAGGTCATTTCTCGTTTCGTTTCTTCCGAGACGATTCGCCGACGAGATGAACAAATCGCGTCCTTTTTTCGAATTGTTGGCGTGACGCTCATGCACACCCCACTGCCACAGTGTCCGATCGATTTCCCAAGTATTCTTTTAAGCATTACTACATGACAAAAAAAAAACAGCTAGTCCTCCCAGCCAGGTTGAAACACACACACAAGTCTCTCCCTCTTTGAAAGGAAGAGTACTTCATGTATATATAGAAGAGCTGGACAAGGACAATATGTATCTTCGGACGAATATGCAGACTCGGGTCGCATCTTGAAGAGAAAACATCGCGCCTGTATTCACGTCGCCTTAGTGCTCGCGAAGGACGCTCTTCTTCTCGGTCGATGACGAATGCAGCATTCTTGGTGAAGTTGTGATAAGTGCCGCTTCTTGGACGATATGAGCATGAAGAAAACCGCTGGAGGGGGAAAAAGAGTAAGATGACAGGGCCGTTCTCTAGAGTATCGTTTTTCGGATCATCATTACTCAGGGACGGAGCACGAGGGAGACGTCTGGGAATAAAAACAAGAGGGGGAAAGATTGGAAGAGAGAGAGAAGACCAGGAAGAGCATCGTTTCTACTGGTACACGCCTTCACCTGTCTAGTAAGATGCGTGATTATCACTCCTTCAACATTTATGAGTGATATTTTTTTTTTTTTAAGTTAGGTTATAATTAAATTTATCCATAATAAATTTTTACAAAGTTTTTCATGCGCTGCGCGCGGGACGACGATACTTCTTCCTACGTCGAAGTCGCTTTTTAAATTTGGAACTAGAGAGACTTTCCTAGGTGGTAGTTGCTCGTTTTCACGTGCGCGCGTTGTGCACGATTTCTCACCAACTACATTATTTGCACATAGATTCTGGAACAGGATGTTTCATTGTACAATACTTAGGGGATACTGTGTTGTGCATAATAAATTATTTAATTTTCTGACGTTGTATCTTGTTTTTTTTTGTATCGCGTCGTATTACAAACCTATCGCACTTTTTTTTTTAGAGGAGAGACATAATTGTACATAAATTTGGTTTGTTTCTTTTTGTTGTTTTGCTTCGTGGTGCATCACTTAATAATAATAAATACTTCGATCAATCGAGGTTTTGTATTTTGCAATCGGGAAGTTGCGGCCGACATTTTCGCACAACTGTCGTCACTAATAACCGATTCGCTATATATCAGTCAATAAAATAATTTAAATATTAAATAATTTAACAATCCACCCCACGTGACAACGTATAGAACATTTAAAGTATACATATATATGTAACAATAAACGAGAAAACGTCACTTTCAATATTGATTGATAATATTTTTAAGGCTTTTTGGCTCAGCCATATCGAATTGTGACATCAGAAGCGAGAAAATTTACAAATGTGTGTGCAGTTTTTTTTTTTTTTTTTTTTTTTTTTTTGAGAGGGAGAGAGAAGTTTATAAATTAATAAATATTATGAAATCTTAATCAACTCGTTGAGAGATCCGCTTTTATCTCGAGCGCGGCACACAAAACCAACGGTGAACTTTTCCATCCATACTTTATTCCTCTTCAAATAGGAATAGAAACACGTTCGTGCACAACTTTTCGCTTCTGACGTCAGTGAAGCCTCATATATACGTAGCTTTAATGTATTTGGTACACAGATCTTGATCTCACATCGCATGACAAACGCGAAATGTAACTGGATTTTCGCGACTTTAAATTTATATATATATATAATATATATATTACTTGTGCGTCTTCAACGCAGAGTTGCAGCCTCGTATTAGGACGCGGTTTCAAACCACGACACGTTACACCACCAGTTTCGTTCAAAAACCTCCACCGTAGACGTAGACCTCTTCTATTCAAAATGCTACTAACCGGATTAACCCGTTAGCACCCGTCGTCCTCGAAACAAGGAACGTGCGACAAATCGGAAACCTCAACTCGGAACAATTTAATTTACGTACATGAAACTTTGCGACTCTTTACCGGGTTAAAAGAATTTGTCGAAAATGTTTTCCAAGTTTGCTCGCAACTTCTTAATTGTTTGGTTCGGGAGAATTTTGGGCGTTAACGGATTAAGAGACTTCGCGTGCACGTGACAATCTCACATTTAAAGTAGGAACGAACGCGGAAGAAATCAAACGGTCAACATGGAAATTTGCGTGCGCGTCGGCGTTGAGCCGCGGGCTACACAAGAGTGCGTAAATAGCTTTTTATCGTAGTAATAACAGCGTTCCCCTAAACGATATTGTCTCTGTGTGTATGTGTGTAAACAACACGTCCGATCGATAGCTGACGTTACAATTGTGTTTTAACTCACTTAAATATTAATAAAATAAAAAAAGTGTTAATTATGGTACGGCGAGATAATGTGGACCTTTCCCCCGAGTAGAAATGAAGTCGGGAGATGATGATCGGCAGCATTGACCGCGATGATGGAATCAGAGAGAGGGAAGATAAGGGAGAGGATGCCGGGGAGAGAGAGAGATACAGTCCGTTTTACACCGAGAGAGACACGAAGCTGTTGTACTGGGTGATGTTGCGTTTCAGGATATCGGCGCACGGGCCTAAGACCCGCTCGAACCGTGCCCGATCCAGCTTCACGCACTTCAGCGGACCTCTGGCTACCACGGTCGCTGCCCGGGGCCTGTCCAGCAGTAGAGCTATCTCTCCTGCGTCAGAAGAAGAGAGTTTCGTTTCGATTTGTTTTTTTGTCCGAAAAATTTAATTACGTAGCGAGTCGTAAAATCAGTAATAGATCCTTAGAATTGCTTTACCGAAGTAATCAGATGGTCCTAAACGGCCGACTTCCGCGGGTTCGTCACCTTCCGAACGTTGCTGAAGAACCACCGCTGTTCCCTCGACGATTATATAAAAATCTTCGCCCGGTTCGCCCTGTCTGACTATCGTTTCGCCGTCGTCGAACGCTACCGGCTCGAGGGCATCCGCCACCGTGAGTCTCTCCCATTTGTCCAAGGATTCTAAAAAAAAAAAAAAAAAAAAATTCCTCACAAATTGTTACTTTCCAATAATTTAATTATCACATTAACGGAGATCCCGAAATAATAAACTCACCTAAAATCGAGACTCTCGAGAGAAACTCCTCGTACATTTTCCGTTTCCTTATGGTGGAGCCCATGAGAATTCTGCGATATGAATCCCTGTCGATGCCCCAGAGCTTCACGTCGGTCTTCGCTCTGACCGTCGCGGCGCGCGGAGTTCCGTAAATTAACGCGAGCTCGCCGAAGCTCCCACCTTCGCCGATCGTCGTTGCCAGTTCGCCGTTGACGAATATCTCGACTTCTCCTTGGTCGATCACGTAGAAATTGTCGCCTTCGTCGCCTGAAAAGAGATACGCCGCCGTTCGTATATATATATTTTTATTTTTTTTATTTTTTTAATTAACGAAAGTACGAGAGGACAAATGCAAGTTGAACAGCGACGACGGTTACCTTGACGGATAATCGCCTCTCCGGGCAAGAAGGTCACGGGGAACATCGCGTCGAATATGTCGGAGCGCTCGTTCTCGTCGAGATGCGCGAACAACACGTTCTTGGCGATGGCCTTGCTCAGAGCAGCCATCGTTTTGTAATCCTTAGGTACGACCTTCTTGACGTAGCTGGTGGCGTCCTCCTCGGAGACCGGCTCCGCCGAGATTCCGCCCCGTCGTCGCGGTACCTGCGGACCTTGCTGACCCGCGGGCATGTCCTCCGTGTCCTCGGGACTCGTGGCGATCTGCTGTTTGGCATCGTGAGCCTGTTCCTGCGAGCGCAAGTTACAAACAAACAAAGTGTCAAATTTAACAAGCTCGTGCAAGCTTGTATCGCGTCGCAAATATAAAAATAATTTACGGCACACAAAGTCTCTAAGCTGAGAATATCGCGTAAGAAAACAAAACCAACAATCAAAATCTCGCATGTTGTTGTCAATTATTTTTGTTGCTATAATGGTTAATTATTTAGACGCGACAGCATATCTCGCGGGAATTGGATAATTGCGCATTAATAATTCACGCTTTTGCGCGTCATTGTGAATTAACGTTGCTACACTTAACGTCGCTATACTCCGAATTCTCCGAGTGGTGTCACAGAAATTGCTCCGAACTAATTGCGGTCGCTATATACATATACATTTGGCCCGGTATTAGCCTAATTACCCACGGTTCGTTCTGGTTCTCATTAATCCGAGCGAGAGAGATTTTCCCTGATGGCAAAGCATTAATTCCGGGGAAAGAAGAAAACAGCCTCCTCCAAATAGAAACAAACGGACTCGATTAATTCTTCGAAGAATTCAACAAGAAACAACATATTAATTACATGGTCGCGCGTAGGACATCTCGACGAAGTAATTAAACAATAAAAAAAACAAACAAACAAAAAATCTCATCTCGCGCGACACGCGACGCGTGTCCTCCGAATTGTCGCTTCAAAACGTTGCTATTTTTTTTTTTTCTAAGCTCGTACATGAAAAAATCTGATGAAAAAAAAAAAAAAAAAAAAAAATGAACGCGAGAGAATTGGGGCGACGCGTTGCAGAACTAGCGACGCGTTAACCGGTGCACCCCGGTGCGTATTAACGCACACTCGAGTGTCGCGACAGAACGGCGTAATAGTTTTTTGCAACAACAAAGAAGAGCAAACGCAAAATTAATAAAAATTCACTGGCTACGCGCGCACAGCCTCGGGGAGGCTGCGAAAAACTCGCGCTTTCCTTCCCTTGCACGCGAAATTGCCGTGAAAATTTTTATAAATTATATATATATCGGTCATTCTCTCGATAATAAAACCGCGCAAATTACACCTCGGTCGTCATCGGTAACGAGCGATGCACATCGAGAGAGGTGAGCGAATAATGCCATAGGTCAGTTGGTGTTTTCACGCACGAACGCGTCTCGTGTCTCTCTCTCTCTCTCTCTCTCTCTCTCTCTCTCTCTCTCTCTCTCACTCGACATGACGATGACGACGACGACATCGGCATCGTCGTCGTCGTCGTCGTCGTCTTCGTGCAAACGCGATATGTATATTCAAATCAGTGCGATACGGTTTTTTTTTTTCATTCTAATTGCCCGCATACATGCGAACTACGAGAGAGAGCCGGCGTCACGATTTGCGTCCTCCTCTATTCAGGAAATGTTTCAGACGCAAAGTTGCGTCTATATTTACGGTTTCGCGCATCGGTTACACTTAGATTTGCCCGATTACTATATTCTTACAAACGAGGAGAATTGATTTTTTTTTTCGAGTTTAATTGTCGGTCTCGTGAGAGAACGTGACTCGAGCGGTTTTGCAAATGGCAGACAGCTACGCTCGACGCGGAGATCTCGATCGCAATTCGCTACATCATACTGATTCTCGATGTAACGCAAACGCAATTACCAATGAATTGATAAAACAGTTTGGAGAACGCGACTTGCCTCGTAAGGACGCGTCTCTGGATCTAAACGTCAAACGTCTCAGTCACGTACACGTACATACTGTGCGTTATTATGCAATAAAAGCAAAAAAGGAAGCAACCACCCGTTAAGAGCACGAAGCAATTTGTTCGCAAAATGAAGAAAGAACGTGGAAAAGGGAGCGAGAACACGGTTGACCGTGCGCTGTAAATTTTTTTATCATTATGCAGTGACAAACATTCCGACCATAAAATGTTCCACCGCAAGCTTACCGTTGAGAAAAAGACCACATTTCATGGTCGAAACGTTTGTCACACTGCGTAATAATATGATTTACGGCACAATCAACCGTGTTCCTACGGCCTTTCTACGATTTTGTTTTTATATTTTGAGAAAATTTCGAGCAACTCGAACTTTTTTGTAAAAAAATTGATTTTTTTTTGTTTTGAAAATTATTTTGCTATAAATTTAGATTACATTCCGACGAATGCACAAATATCGCAGATCGAACTTTTGCGCTGGCTTCTTGTTTTTCCGAGACACTCTCGATCGCGCCGACTTTGTCGTTTGGTGTTTGACTGTGGCGCACCTGCGCACAGTAATTCAATAAAGATGCATTATGTCATTGCCGTCGCAAACAATGTACATAAGCGAAGCTCGGGATTACAATTATTAAATCTGTCAGTTTATCCCGTGTATTATTATCTCGCACGTGTTGATCTATCTCACAAAAAAAAAAAAAAAAAAAAAAAAACAGACAACAGAAATTTTACAATATTTTATTATTATCGCGCGTTGTTATGCGAAACGCGTCGGAAATTTATCGCGCGAAATAGATCGCGAGAAGGAATTTTCAGCTAAAATTGTTCGCCATTGAAATTTGCGCGTGCAAATATCGCAAATTGCATGTGATCGACGATGTGTAAACTACGTAAAAAAAAAAAAGTTGTTCGTCCGTGGCCAAACGAAACGTAACTCGAATTCCAGTTCGAGAATCAAGAGAAGAATCAACGAAGACGCCGCGGCGCTCTTGCACAATCAGCAACCAATATGATATATGGCGACCCGCTGCGACCCATAAGTGCTGGCACGCACACACGTGCGCATTCTTGCGAACACACACACACACGCGCGCGCGCGCGCGCACTCTAGTTAAACACACACATCCACGAGAGACGATCAAGTCGCTCTTCTCATCTCTCGAAGAGCGCGCGAATGTTTTTCAGGCTTACTCGGTTTCCTTCTCGAGAGAGAGAGAGAGAGAACGCGCGCACAAATGTGTAATTGAAAGCAAATTCGATCGCCAGCAAGAAACCCGACGCGCTTTATTTTCTCGTGATAAATAGACAAGTCGATACAAATAATTTAAAAAGAATGGCGTTTCTCTCCGACGGATTTAATTGGAAATATAAAATTGTGTGTATCCGGAAAGAGAGATTATGTACGTTCTCGAGAAATATACATCGCGGACACAGAAGTATTATATTGCGGAACCAAACACACACACACACACACGGAATAATATATAATTTATTTTTCTGGCACGAAAATAATAAAAATTCCATCGCCGCACAAAAATCCATGCCAAAAACCGACAAAGACGAAAGAAAAAAACCAGAGAGCGGAGAAGTTTTTCGATAGTCGCGCGATATATATATATATATGTTTCAACAAATCTTTCCAGTGACACCGGGCGGAGAATCGATCATCCCGGATATTTAATCCTCTCTTGCTTTCGGAAAATATCAAAGAAAATATCTCTTCGCGCGCGCGCGTGTGTGTTGGATGCGAAAATTTTTGGGGAGAAAATGCTCCACCTCGCAGTTACGAGAATTTCTACGTGAAATCGCATTGCAGCTTGAGGTGACGAAAACGACGAAGGATGCGCGTCAAAGATAGAGAAAAAGAGAGAGAGAGAGAGAACTTCGCCTTGAAGAGCGATTCTTGAAAGAATCACAGAATCCGGTCAATTAAAGCACGATCTCTATCGAATCAATTGTACGCGCCGCGCGGTAATTACGCGCGCGCTCGTTCTTCCTTGTACCTCATTCATCGTTTCTCTCGATCTTCCGACTTCCTCTTCTCTCTTTCTTCTTGTTTCTTCTTCCCCTCGTTTCTCGTCTTTTTTTCCTCTCGTCTTTTTCGCACTCGCGAAACGACCGGTTTTCGTCGTCGTCGTCGTCGTCGCGATCTCTCTCGCGAACGCACTTGCGAAAAAGCACCGAGAAAGCGCGGATCGTTGCTTCTCGAACGCGAACGCGTGTGTCGTTGTCGCGTCCGTTGTTCTCTTTACGATTCGCACGAAGATTTTGTATGGTCTCCGCACGGAATATACATCCAATTAGAGATTGGTTTCGGTCGCGATCTAGCACGCGCGCGCTAGACGATCTCCCGTTCGTCGGCGCGGCGGCGGCGTCGGTACGCTTACTGCTGCCGTCGGTCGACGCCTGTTCGTGCTCGCGTGCACGGCGTAATCCCCGCCGCGCTCGAGGATCTCTGGACGGAACGGACGGACGTGGCCGACGACGAGATGTTGTCTCTCTCGTGTGTGTGTGTGTATGTGTGTATACTGGTCGGTAAGTAAGATCTTCTCCATCCACACGCGGCCGCGGCAGATCGATCCGCGGTATATTTTTTCTTTTTATTTTTTCATTCAACTTCTCCCGACTCGCGTAAAATTGTCGAGAATTTATTGAATTTGCATAATAGATCCATCCGGGATAGAGACGACGGGATGAGCTTCCAACGGTTTCGTTCGCACGAGTTCTCGCGCAGTTTACATTGCCGCGCTTGTTTATTAATGTCGCAATTAAAACTGTGTAATTAAATTTTAGAGGTCGTTAGAAACTCTCTCTCTCTCTCACGAGAGCGTTTTCCATCTGCTGCGAAATATTCTTGGGAAAGTAGTCAAGAGTCGAACAAGTAAATTGTGTGATTTGAAATAAATTAGCGATTATTTATTATTTTATGTATTTAATTTGTGTTGCACACACATCTCTCACGTCCGAGAACTTCTCTCGCGCTATTTTTAATTTAATGGTTTGTTTGTTTGTTTTTTTTTTGTTTTTTTTTTTTTATTACAACTCGCATTTTATTTCTCTCTTTCTCTCACAGTCATTTTAATTTTATTGAAAAAGTTTTGCGCTCTTCTCAATGCCTGCTAATTTTATTTTTATAGCTTCGCATCGTCATAGATACGAAATGCCACGCTCGTATAGTTGACAAGTTTTATTTTTTTTCTCTCACTTGCGTGGTACGCGCGCCTGTACGTATATATAGTAAGGTTACGAGATAGCTTTTGGTATATCGCTTATTAAATAAAGACTCTCTTGTGTTTTCGCGGTTTTCAGATGCTTCTCCTGGCAACTTGACATCATCACAACACGCGGAGGAGGAAGGACAACGACGCGATTCGCGACTGGATTCGCGCGGCCCCGCATTCATCTCCGCGGCCTTCCACATTTTTGTGAACTATTGCGGTTTTGACGGACTCCACTCTCGCGCGCTCTCTCTTTCTCTCTCTCTCTCTTTATCTCTATCTCTCTCTCTTTCTCGGTGTGCTGTAAGGTTGCGTCTTGTTATATTTCGAGCGTACTCTATGTTTAGATCAGCTGCCCTTATATCGCGCTCTTTCTCTCTTCTTTGCACACACACTTAGATACGCACGCACACAGATTATACAAAGTTCTCCCATCTTTTTCCAACTCTTAGTATCTTTCTTTTTCCCTCCGTTTTCTCTTGCTGCGCCTCTTCCTTAAGACCGAGAGATAATAAATAATAAAACGGAGTTGCTTCATGAGAGAGCGAGCGACCTCGACAAGAAATTCGTGTAGTTATTTAGGGCGAGCGCAACTTTTACGGGAGAATAAACCGTTTTATCACCTCAATTATTAAGAATAAACTCCCTTGAGGGACGAGAGAAGGAAAAAGAGGGCCATTTGGAATCGATCCCTCTTTCTTTCTCTTTTTCCCTCTCTCTCTCCATTCTTCTCTCTCTTTTTCTCGGTGAAACGATTTTCAACATGAAGACCACAAGCGATCGCTCTCGCAATCAGGCGAAAGTGCTTTGATTCTTCATTCAATTTTGAATCAATCATTCAATTTACAGAATCACACACGCACCACGGAAAAAAAAAGGGTCGTTTATCATTTGTTTGTTTATCCCCGCTTTTATCCGTAGGTATCTTTCTCATCTTTTTATTCCCATGTCTCGTATTAGTTTCAAAGTCCTCATCCTCAGTCACCAACTCCCACGCGTCTCGACTTTATTATTCTCTTATTCCAAGAATCGCGTACTATTCGCGTGTTTATGTTCCGCGAAGAGAGATTTATACTCGGGAATAGATCTCATTTTTTTTTTCTATCTTTTTCTCTCTCTGTGTGTGTGTGTGTCTTTGGATACGTATGTATCTTCTTTCCTCTCTCGCGAGTTTTGCCGAGTGCACAGCGCGTAAAGGCAAACATGCGACGCGATGCGAATCCGCGCCGCGTGTTCCCGCGCGCGTCCCTTCGCCTTCCGCTCGACGGCGTTGCCAGCACCACCACTACGTCGTTACCGTCGTCGTCGTCGTCGTCGTTTCGGTGCGAGAACTGTCACACTGACTGACGGCGCCATCGTTATCTCATCTTCGTATAATCCGAAATTTCTCCGCGTAATTTCTCCACAACGGGACCTCCAGTCACCGGAGCGCAACGAGCTTTCATCGAACAAGATGCATCGGATGTCCTCGTTTTGTTTCGATAAAAAAAAAGGAACCGGAACATCCAAACAACCTTTATGAGAGAAAAAAAATTAATTTCTCATTAATTTCACACAGCAGTCATCGCGTGAACGCACGCGAACGAAGATTTCGTCTCATGAGGAAATAAACGCGAAAAAAAAAAAATAAATAAATAATAAGAAGCAGACACACGCGTATTTGCAACGCGAAATTTTATTTCATCGTCGGGAACGCGCGACGAACGTTAAAAAGAATTAGCGTCAGCTCTCTCTCTCTCTCTCTCTCTCTCTCTCTCTCTCTCTCTCTCTCTCGGCGAAACCACTTGATCTTATTGATTCTTTTCACGACAACACAGTATATACCCGCGCGTATACGTTGTTTTTCTTCGGTCGTCCGCCGAAAGTGGCCTTCGCAGTTACACGATCTGATGAATCATTCGCGAGGAGCAAACACACTCGATACGGATTATGTCGAATTTGATCAGTATGTTTGATCAGATAAATTCGACCGCTGTAACAACAATAATAATAATAATAATTTATACCAACATATTTCTCAAAATAGAAGCGTCAACGCTAGCTCTTCTCGCGAAATATTTTTTTTCTCCGCGTTTAATTGAGGATTTATTAATGAGAAGAGAGTCCGATCGATCAATTTACATTACCTTCGAAGTACTTAAATATTTTACACCGATAACGCGAATTCCACATGGATTTATTTCGCGCGATTTTCATCAACGATCAGCAGCTTTACGTCATCATCGAGGCTTGTCAAGCGTCGTTTTATTTTTGGCAGCCGTATCTTCGCGCGCGCGTCGATTTTTGGCCAGTTTGCAAACAGAGTTTTCGATTTCCGCGTGAGTTTCTCTCGCATAGATTCTCGCGCGATAATTGTCTGGAAAAATGGAAAAGGTAACGACAAGGCAGCGCGAAAGGTCTCATTCGCTTCGCGAGAAGCGGCGTGTCAAGAGTCACGTGCCTTTTGTTACAAACTTCGTGACATATCACGGAAGTTGATTGCAATCATATAGCGATCCGTCTCTCGCAAGTTGCCAGCGGATAACTCCGCGAATTTCAAATCGGTTTAAAATACATAATTCGCATAGAACTCTTTAAAGATCGATCAGAGCCGAGAAAAGTTTTCAATTATTCCGCGCTGGTTCAAAGTTTACTTTTTTGCTCTTCGAAGAAGAGTATCTTAATGATAAACAAATTACAGTTTCTTTCGTCTTTGTTGTTTCTTTTATCCGTAATGATGGTTTTTTTTTGTTTGTTATAAATTTTAATATATCTCGTCCTCAAAACACGTGAGTTGTTTCTTAAAAGCTCGATTTAAAAGAATATTTTGAGAAAAGTGAAAATATTCACGTGTGTGTGTGTGTGTGTGCGTGTAAAATTACAGATCGATTACCACGTACGTCGGTAAATCAGGAATCTGTTGCAATTGTAACCAAGAAGTCGCGGACGGACAATAGCGATGGCAGCACTTGTTCGTAACGTATTCTTCGCGATATTATCGCCGGTTGTTAAATACGACATTTATCTCGCAAAGTAACAAATAAATTTATCTCTCAAGCAAAACACTCTGTCTCTCCGTTAAAAAATTACACATCACAGAATCGTGATTGTTTTAAATTGTTCACGAACGCGTATATACGACGCGATACGTTGAGATAACAACCGACATCTCTCCGCACATTTCACGCGGAGAGAGATTACACAGTGTTTACTCAAGAGATATACAATCGCGATAGCGCGGCGTAAGTAAATTTTCAGGAGCGCAATATGTCGTTGTTCGCAAACAGCGGACAATATTGAATCCTCTGATTTGTTACGAAAAATTTAATTTGAACGCGGCGGCGAATAACGAGCAAACACACTTTTTGTGTACTTTCCCTTCTGGCGCGACCATTTGCAATATTTTGTTGCCATTTTTAAATACCATATATCTCGCAAAACTGTGATTTTTCTCCCAACACAGAATTCTGAGAGAAATTCACGCGCTCGATAATTCGATCGGAAACGAGAGAACGCGATGACAAGCGTATAAAATCTACTTAAAAAAATCCCGACTGATCTCCGCGACAGCTTCGAACACGTTTCGAAGATCAGAAAATATGTATATGTTGTGTTGTAAACTACGCTTCTCACAATCGCGCGTGTCACGTCACCGTTGTCATACGCGCTGACACGAGCGCTGCCATTGGCAACGACGTCCGAGCGATTTCGCGATCAGAGGCGATCGCGACCTCAGAGACGGTCGCTCTCTTTTTTTCGCGCGATTGATCGACTCCGCGCGATCACGTCCGCGGAGTCGCGGCGCGTAGCGAGAACGTAAAAAAAAAAATTTTTCCCCCGAAGTCCAGGTTAATCGAACACCGCGTCGAGGAGGTTGGAACGGTGTGTTACTTTTTACGTACCCTTTCCAGCTTCTGAAAATACTCTCGCAGGAAGGAAATCGGATTTTCCGGTCTGCCCACGCACAGTTGCACTATACAGTCTTTCAGGACTTGTTGGATATTGTGTCTCTGCACGTATTCCTCGCACTCGCGTAAACTCTGCTCCTCCTCGAGATTCGCCGCCATATTGATAATGCACGGCGCGCCGCTTTATCGACGACGTATAGGAAAGGTGTACGCGCGCAACGAGCGCACGATATCAGCGCGCTCGTCTTGCTTCGTGACGCGTGGAAAACAAACGAGACGACGGCCTCGCTCGCAAGCGCGATCTCTCGTTTTTCCGAGACACCCGGGGGAGATACATTTACGCGTAAGTAATTTCGGACGAGCTGAATTTGTGTTGACGAGAGATCCCGATAAAACAGCGAGGACGAACCAACATTTTCTTTTTACGTTCGTTCCGCGTTCGAATTTTGTTCAGAAAAAAAAGGTGGAACACTAAGGGCCATTCTACAATGAGTTGAAAATGTCCCCGTCGCCAGTTGCAACTACTAAGGAAAAAGTATTATTTTACGCGCTGCGGTTGCCAGTTGATAAAAGTTAAATGTTGACCAACTCTCTTTTTAGGAACCGCAACGACAAAGCGCAATCAAAAATATCACTTTTCTTTTCGTAATTGCTACCTTTCGCAACTGGCAACGGGACATTTTCAACTCACTGTAGAACGACCCTAACAAACATCAATTTCCTTGTACGAGGTCAAATTTCGACGTCAGCAAACGCATTTACTCCGAGACAATTTCCAAAAGATTTCTCGTCGAAATATGAATGGCGAGAACAGTAAAATTTCAAACAAAATCGGAAAAATAAATTTTACAAATTTTAAGTAAAAATTCTCTAAACCATAAATTTGGGTGACACAATATATTACGCCATGTGTGAGAATTACAAAATTCTCAAGAAAATCCCCGGACCCCCGAGAACGAGAGCCACATATTGTGGTTTAAGAAATTCGCGAGGTTTGAAACTCCCGCGTCTCGAATCGAATCGCGCGAAAGATCGGCGCGATTCCAACGTGATATACATCGATACATCGCGCGCGCGGTCGCCGCCATCTCTCGATTACTCGTCTCGCGCGAGACACCAGAACGATATACCGCAGCAGGGGTATATCGCTTCTCGCGTATATCGCGATGGCTGGCGAAGTGCTGCGTGCGGCGTACTGCTGCCTTGCGAGAACGGACGTATCTCCGCGCTGATAGGGAGATAGTTTAGGGTCCTGTGCGGTGTTCACGGCGAAGCTCGCGACGGGATTCTCGCCGTCCTCGCCACGAAAGAGACGAACTTGTTCGGCGCAGCGAAGTCGGGCGCGATCGCGCTCCGTGACGGGACGGTCGGTCGGTCGGTCGGTCGGTCGTACGAACGAGCTGTCGATCGGACGACACACGGTCGGTTCGGAACGGCCAAAGTGAGTGCGAACAAATCCCCCCTCCCCTCCCCCCGCCGGGACTGATCCGCGCGTGTGAATCCTGGTGTTGCGTCGAGCGGATATTGTGCGAGTGCGTTTTTCGTGTTCTCGCGCCCGATCCAGGAACACCGGGAGGAAAAGCGGCTGTCAACGAACGCCGAACACATTCGAGGAGCTCTCTCGCGAGGTCTCGAGGGAGAGAAAAAGAGAATGAGAGAGAGACACAAGGGCTCAGTTGATCTCTGAAAGAAAGAAAAAGAGAGAAAGAGAGAAGAATAGAGAGGCAACGCGAGGTACGTCTCTCTCTCGAGGGTTGTACTCATGCACGTTCCTCGGGGGGTCGCACACTTCATGTTTCTTTATTCGTACACACGCGAATAGATATCCGACGTGCAAACACGTCGTTTACTTGTGTGTTGTAAACCCTCCTCCGTTACGCGCACATGCACGAAGGGGGAATCCTCTCCTCCTCGAGGAGAGGTAACACACATTCCGCTGTACGAAATACGACGATCCAAAACGAGTCGATCGACGATTTCGATTGTTCGTCGCTTTCGTTGTGTGTCGAAATTTATTCCTTACGCAGAGATCGATACGCGTCGCGTCGCCGAGGTACATTTTGAGAGGCGGAGAAAGAGAGAGAGAGAGTGAGAGAGAGAGAGAAAGAGAGAGAAAAAGCGAAGACCAAAATAGAGCAGACAGTCCTATCCGTTTGGTTAGTTCTCCTCTCGCGGCGGTGTCCTTTGGTTTTGTCCGGCATTACTTCGCGCTGACAAGTCGCCGAGGGTCTCGCGTGAGCGAAAGGGGAGAGAAGCGGGGGTACGTTCGATCGAGGACGTCTCGCGCGCGCGACACGCCGGTAACATTCATCAGCCAGGATCTTCGCAACGGATATCCCACTTGTCGTATCAGCGATAATCGCGAACAAACGTGCGCTTTCGCTTGTGTTCCCGCGATCGTTTACGAATATTTCTGTTCTTCGGAATTTATATCACGTTTATCTATTTTCGTTCTACATATATTTCGTTCAAAATATTAGTGTTTGCAACGTTGCGCGTTGACGAAGGAGTGAGGATAAATTTATTGTCAAAAGAGAGCGCACGTATATATATATACAGTCGGTTTTTCTTTGTTGTGTGCGTCAGAGCCGACAGCGATCGTGTTTCCAATAATTGTATCCAACAAAGTATTTATCATCATCAGGTTTCGCGATCTCTTTCGGTGCCGCAATTTAATTATTTAATATCCTGTTTAATATCTGTTTAATATCAATTGCTTCGCAATATTTACGTTTTGACTGTTTAGTTTATCTTGACGTCAAAAAATTGCTGTAATTGTTAATTATAATACGCAAACTTACGTGCGAGAAATGCTAAGAGATTTTATTTATTTATTTTTTTTGTTGCTTTGTGTGATAGGTATATATAAACGTCACTTATCGTTGGCGTTTCTTCAAATTGATTGACCGAACACCAGAGTAACCTAACACTGCCTATTTTTGCAGATAACAAAATAAATTTCATCTTCTCTCGAGAAATCGCTTGCGAGGCCTCGCAATCGTATCGGCATCTCGTGCGTCATATTCGTCGAAAGACAAACACGCTCGTTGCCGTTTTTGGCGCACCGACAGTTACTGGTTTTAGACGCAGAAAGGGACTGATAGAAAAGAATGAAAAAAAGGAAACGCTAGCCGATCAGCAGCGGAGGAACGTTAAGGAAACGAGAGTTATTTGGAACACGGATGTTTTCTCGCCGCATTCTTTCTGTTTCTCTCTGTAGTTCGCGTGTGCTAACGTATAAATTATATATCGCAAATATCGCGGTAAAGAAACCGACGTGGGTACGTGCATGAGAGGTCGTAATTCCGCAATAGCGAGTTCCTTGGTGTGTATGTGTGCGTGTGTGTGTGCGCGCGCGCGTATGTGTGTGTATCTTTCAACCCTGTGTCTCGTTTGTCGTTGCAGAAGGCAAACTCACGTCTGACTCGAACGTCGTAATTTTGCAGTGTTTGAGTACGTGTGTGCGCGTGCCACAAGGATAGACCGGAGAAAAATAATCGACGACACGTATATCCGCGCCAGAAATTGAGAAGAGGAGAACGCAATCGCGAGGACGCAATCCTTTCAACAAAGGATCGGCGAAACAACAATCGAGAGGAACGAGGGTAAGCTGTAAAAAAAAAAAAATACAAGATCATCAAAAGAGAATCGAAGAAACTCGCACACACTCGTAAAACCAGCGTGAAAAATTCACATCACACGAATCAGAGAGAAAGAAACAAACTGAGCGGAGAGGAAGAGCTTTAGCTCGTGTCGAAGTCGTCTCCGGCTATGACGAGGGCAACGAGTCGCGCTGCCGATCGGTCGTCGTTGATTGAAGAAGCCACAAATGCAAGAGCGATCATCATCTCATTGAATGTGGAACACGATCTCGCGACTCTTTGCTAAGAGCAGCAAGACCGCGGTGCAGGAGGCAGCCGCGTCGCCGCTGCCGCCATCGGCGACGACAACATCGGAACAGCAGAAAGAGCGACAACAACAACAACAACAGCAGCAGCAGCAGCAGCAGCGCACGTGCAACGGCGTCGACGACGACGACGCGCCCGCCGACGTTACGAACGTCGTCCATGTGTTCAACGACGACGCGACGATGGATCGCGGCGCGAGTGCAGACGATCGACGCAGACCTGCTGCCGCCGCCGCAGCTGCGACCGGTACCGCGGCGACAGCAGCGGCCGATCAGCAGTCCGCTGGGGGTGACTTCGAGCATTTTTCCGACACCTATGACTCCCGCCAGGTAAATGTTTTCTCTTTTTTTTCTTTTTTTATAGAAAGTTTCAGGTTCGAGTTGAGAATTTTTCGCAATATTTGATTAAAAAAAGCGCATTCTTACATACAGCACATATTTACATACAACATTTCTCTTTACACTCTCTTCTCACTTTTATGAACGTCGTAACTCCATTTCGTCGTTTTAATCTATTTCGTTGTAAAAACTCGAATTTTATCCTAGACTTTTAATTAAACGGACATGTTTATTTACATCTCCGTTCGCTCATATTTAAGTCTGAGATTGCGCGTTCGTTCAACTCGACTCGAGTTATTTCAACTAAATTTTTTTTTTTTTTTTTTTAACCTGCAGAAAGAGATTTTCCGAATCAGAAGAATCATCCGGATTGGCATTTCTGTCACGCGTGTGGTAAACGTTGAGGATATTCGGTACGCGTATTCGCGCGACATGTGATGGAGAGAGAGAGAGAGGAGAGAGAGAGAAAGAGTTGCACGGCTGTAGAACTATTCCCGAGTCGCGACGCTATGACGAATATGGCGTTCGTTTCCTGTGCGCGAGGTTATTTATTGCACGATAAAACACTCGGCGTTTATACTCTGTGCCTTGTGTGTCCACGGACGAGAACACTCTCGATAGGTAATTCCAGGTATTAGACGATTGATTCTTCCCTCACAACTGTTTGATCTTCGAGCGAAACCATCGTCGCGAGAGAAACGGTCTCTTCTTCTATCCTTCCTTCACCCGCACACGCGGCGCGGAGAAAATCTCATTTGCGCTAAAAAAAAAAAAATTAAATTTAGACCGAGTAGAGAAGTTACTTTTTTTTTTTATCAATTGAAGTATCTCGAGCGTAAAATTCGCAGTTATTAACTTTGTTTCGGTTCTGTTGCGCGACAGTGACAAATTCAATCTCTCTCGCCCTTATCGCACGATTTAACCGGGAGAGGGGAAGGGGTTTTTATTATTAATCCTGGCGCACACAGAGACGGTCTGCTCGCAAATCTGTACCAATGAGCAATCAATGTTACGACCTCGTTTATCGGCGATCACGTTCGGCACGTTTGGCACGTGTTCAACGATCAGGGCTACCATTCGTTTGGCTTCTTAGGTGAAGATTTGTATAGCGTCGAAAAAAGAAAAGAAAAAAAAAAGAAAAGAAAAAAAAAAGAAAATAATTTACACCGAGATACGCGTGTTTCAAAACGAGCCGCGCGTTCTCGGCGAGAGAATTTGAAACGACGGATACACATCGGCGGACAAATTAGCGAAGAGATAAATTCGCGACCCCGCCGCGAGCTGGTTTCGTTGTCTTGTTTCCGAAGGAAAGCGAGGTCGTTTCTTATATTGCGTGCGAGAATACGATTTTACCGCGCAACCTCGTCATTATCCTGGAAGTCGCCGTGGCTCGTCACTCGCTCGAATGAGACGACGTCGAGAAAAACGATCTCGCGCACACGGTCGAAAGTACAACAAATCGACGGCGTCGACCAGTAAAAAAAAAAAAAAAAAAAATTAAGAAGGAAGAAAACAACGGTCGGAGAAGAAAAGCGATCGTTATCGCGGCGTTCTTGACCGATCTCGCGTCTCGATCGTTTCCGTCGATTAATGTACTGGAAACTAAACGCCTAATTTAAGGCGTGTCGTTCGGCGGCTCTCCTCTCCTTTTCTAGCGCGGAGGAGCGCATTCCTGGCGCATAACAAGCGGCGCAATTATCAAACGTGCATTAAAAGATCGACGGAACATTGCGCGTGCAACCGGTGCAATAATTAGCCGGCCGTGGTTTCGCGCTCGCGCACACACGATCCAATTTCTTCTTCTTCTTCTTCTTCTTCTTCTTCGTGTCTATGGAAAACGTTCGCACGAAAAATGCGGACCGGAGTTTTTGCATTGTCCGTCTTGCTTTTTTTAAAAATAACGTAGGAGTAAATACTCGATTGTCCAATTGCGATCGCGCGACGGACTCGTCAGAGCTCGAGGCGGCGTCTTGTTTCTCGAGGAACGCGCGTGCATTAGCATCGAACACGGAGGAAGACGCCGCGACGAGAATCAAGCAAGCACCTTGACGGCGCCTTTTAGAGTAATTAAGACGACCGTGACACACACTTGGAAACGATTAAACGTCGCGCGAAGTATGAAATACGTCCGGAATAAAACGGACGGAGTTGTCTCTGCGCGTCGCGCGTTTAGATAATTTCGCTTGTTTTATTTCTTTTTTTTTTTTTTTTTTGCCAATTCGAAAGCTATCGATCATCTCCCGGCGCACACCTGTGCAGTTTTCACATCTCGTCGAAGAGAAAAGCAGTTTTACGTAACAACAACACTGCCCGCACGCTTTACAAAAAAAAAAAAAAATATTAATCGGTGAAAGTGACGCGTGTGCGTGAATTGCCTCGGTCGGTTCTTCGGGACGGACGTGTGCGGTTTTTTGAGTTTCGAAACTGCTGGCAAATAGGGAAATGCCGCGACGTGGGCGGCGAGTCGAAAGTGCGAGTCGCGTCCTTGTCTTGTAAATACATGCAATTTGTGTTTTCTTTATTACGGACACGTTATTTAAATGCGCTTTTGATTTACGACTATTCGGTTCGCTGAATTGTTTGTTTTGTTTGTTTGTTTGTTTGTTTTTTTTTCTAATATTTTTGTTTCTTTTGCTCTCGATGTGCTTTCTCTCTCTCTCTCTCTCTCTCTCTTTGTCTCTCGACGGATTCGCGAAAAAGGAGACGACCCGGGGGCATGGGACACAGGTTGTGTGTGTCGCCGGGGGTTACACGTTTCTGTCCTCACGACACTTACGACGACGATGTCGTCCTTCGGCCTGGCGAGTAATCCAATACGCCGTGAGAAAGCGAATCCGCGTAGCGCGGTGCATTGTCTCGCGTTCATTGTCGGATGCTTTTTCCGCGAAGGGAAACGCGCGACGACGCTTTCCACGATCAATCCTTACTCACCTCAAAAAACACACCGGCGCCTTGTGTGTATTCGGGAAAGTTTCTTGTTGAAGCTTGGGAAGATTGATTTATATCAGAATACGATTTGTTTATTTATTTATTTATGAAAACTTTCACGACTTCGCCGAGCTACTTCGCGTCGTCCAAGAATTGTTTATACTTAGTCAAGCTGTTTTATTCGTCAAAAAGTTCGCCGCAATTTTCCGGTTGCGAATGATAACCTTGGGGTGTGTCACGCGTGATTTCGTTTCCACAGCGTATCTCTCTCTCTCTCTCTTTCGACCATACGCGCGTGTCTAATTTATCTTCGGTTATTGTCTCGTCGAGAATGCAATTCTCAGGGCAAAAGTAATTATTCGCAGCGCGGATTCAACGCTTTGTTGCTACCTGTATTAAAAAAAAAAAAAACGCAAAAGTCCATTATCGAGCTTGAAATCGATACATTGCGAATATTATTGCGAGACACAAAGTACACACGTATCTCTCGACGTGTTTAATCTTTGTTGCGTAGATTCGTCGATGTGTTGCAACACGGTGTGTGAGAAAGAAGATTCGTTTTCAAAAAACCCGCGCAATACGCAATTATCGCGGATGAAAAATAGATCTTTTTTTTTTTTTCTTCCGAGTCATAAGTCACCTGCGCGCGCAGGGCGAAGGTTAATTGCGTTGCGCTTAGGGCCTCGATATGTGTATTCTGATTCACCATGGGTTGCGTGTGTGTGGGTATATGAACCATCGTGGGTATATGAAACAACAGCAGCTGACTCACTCACGCAGCCTGTCGAGTGCCGCGTCTCCGCGCGAATCAAAAGCCGCGCGTGATTCTCTCGCACGTAGTACGGTTTTTGCGCTCGGAGAAGTGCGTTCCTCTCTCGGTGTGGTTCTCTCGATGCTTTTTTTCCCCCCTCCCGAAGGGGAACGCGGATCGATTATCGCAAATAATACACACTCGACGACGCGTCGCGCGATCTCTCCGTCGATGAATTTCGAGACGCGCGCGCGTGACGGAACAATTGACGTCGCTCGTTTATCGACGAGAGAGAAAGAGAGAACGGAAAAATAAAATTTTTCTCACCGAAATAAAGTGAAAATAAATTGTGAATCGCCGCGAGATCTCCCGCCGGACAAAAGAATTTCGAGACGACCGACGCGCGCGACGGAACAATTGATATCATCGACAAGAACAGACGAGAAGGGACACCGTTTCGAACAGCAGATAATTATCTTTCTTTGCGAAATGCAAGTGGAGCGAAGATAGTTACGAGTTGCAAAACGAGGAAACGCGAGTTTTTATTATTTTATTTTCGGAAATCAACAACGCAACACAGCGGGATCGATTATACGGCGTGTAACACAGCGAGAAGAATTCTCGCGAGGCGAACAGGAGCGATCGATACGTCGCAACTGCGTATCTCCAAATGGATGTTCATTGAATTGTTTATTCCGACGACTGTGCGGCGTCGCGTGCTCGCGGAGTGATTCATCGACCTTCCTCGAGAAAGAAGAATACGTTAGATCTTTTTCTCCTCCGTTATTTCTCTATTCGCGCGATCTATGGCGATACGTAGTGCAAAGTTTCTCTGTAGACTCGCGAACGCAATTAGCGCTGTGATTTATCTATGAATCTTCGGTAAAGCTTCCGAACTCTTCTAACGCAAAAGACAAGAGAGAACATCGAAAACTTCTCCCCTGCAAAAGTGCGGTGGGATTTCACATTGCCGCCCGAGTCGATCGAAGACGACAGATGTTGGACCCGTGCCACGACGGTATCACCTCGTTCGTCGCCACATTATCGGTACGGGGGTTATAGCGTCGAGTTTTCGACGCAGCTGTCGCTATGCAGTCGCTGATCGTTTCTCCTCCCGTGTGCGTCTTCCGAATCATAAACGGGAAGAAGTACATCAAAGTGCGTTGTCGTCGCCGCGACGATGTCGCGCGCGCAAAATGTAACGAAATCCGAGAACGTCGCGACGCGAATATTACCGCGTAATAAATCCGCGGGATAAGTCGGTCGAAATTAAATTACTCTTCGCCGTACACTTTCGTGTGTGGTGTTGGCC